GGAGGAGGTGGAGGATGCTCTGCGGGACGGGGCTGGGGAGGGATCCAGCCGGACCCCAGAAGCCCCCCCCACCACAGACACTCGCAACTCCCTCTGCTAAACCGGGCAAACCGGGACAAACGGGCTCACTGCCCGGCAAACCCCTCGCCGTGCTCCTGCCAGATGTGGCTGCCGGGGGGGGGGGGGCAAACCCCCGCCCCGCCCCTTCTGAAGGCTCGCCTTCGCCCTGGGCTCCCAGCGAGGAGGAGGAAGGGCAGGCGGATCCCCGGTGCGGAGGCCGTTTCGGGCAGGAAATCCCGGCAGCCTCTTCCCCGAGGCCTGGCAGCCCCGGGATCGCTGAGCCGCTGCGGCCGGCGGAGATAAGGGAAGCAGCAGGAAACGTGCATCTCTCCTGGGGCGGCCGGGAAAGGAAACTCGATTCCCGGTGACCGGAGCGGGGCTGGGGGCTTGCAGCAGAAAGCAAGCGTTCGCAGGATGCACCAGGGGCCATTCGGTGCTTTGGGATGTAAGGCAGGAGCAGGGGCGGTGTGGGGTGAGGGTAAGAGCGGGGCTTCGGCCGGCTCCGGTGCGGACTCGGTCGGCAGCGTCCCGTTGCCAGCCGAGTTAGTGGGTCACCATAATAATGCCCTCGGAGCGTTTCTCCTCCTGGTTATCGGAAACCAGTCCTGCTTGGGGTCGAGCTGTTTGGCAGGAAGGGCAACAAGTTAGTGCCTTAAACATCCTTCTGGTTCTGGTAGGAAAGGGCTCTCGCGGGGAAGGGGGTGTGCACGTCTCAGCTCCCTGACTCAGCACGCGTAAGATTTTTGGCCTCATTCTCCTAAGAAAAAGAGATGTCTATGGGTTGGTTTTTTTCCCCTCCTTAATAACTGGAATCTGCTGGCTAATTTCAGCCAAATCTGACAGTAGCATCTCTGAGGGTCTGCAAAACCAGAGAGAAGAAAGGGAGACCCTGTTAGCTGCCCCCTTGCCTGAGAAGGCGGGCACAGCCTTGGGTTTCAGCTCGACCCTTACAAGCCATCTGAGAATCCACAACGGGTGCACGGCCGGGGTGAGCCCAGCTTGCCGTCCTGCCGCCGCGGGGACAACCTCTGCGTCGTGCCGGGTGGCCGTGCCCCTCCCGCGGGGTGGCTCTGCTTCCTCTCGGGCCACGTCGAGGTGTCTCTCCGGGTGGCTCCATTCATGGGACCATAAATCCCGGCTGGGCTCGCTGCCTTCCCCGTGGCCGTTTCCTTTCCCGGGAGCATCCCGCCGGGTGCTGACAGCAGGGAAGCTGCAGCAGCGGGGCAGATTCCCACCAGCGCAGGACCCAGCTCTCGACATTTCCATTTTTGGGAACGGTTCTCACTGGCTTCGGTCTCGCTTCTTTGAATCGGCTTCGCCTCATGACTCACCGCCTTCTCGCCCTGGCCCACCGCTCCCGTGCACAGGGACACCCTTCCCCAGCGAGCCTGGACCAGGAGGTACATCGGGACTTGCTCAAGCGCATCCTTGAGGATGCACGTGTTGCCCGGCTGGGTCTGGAGGCCACCAGCCCCAAGCAGCAAGAGCACCCACCGGACACCAAGTGATCCCAAGCCACCCGGCCGTACCCAGGGTTTCTGGCCTGGGCACGGCAGTCTGCAGCACCTGGGAGGGTGTCCACCCACACCGCAGATGATTTCCATACGCAGGGTCCATCCCACACGCTCCAGCTGTGACCCAGCACAGATCTTTCCGCTCAGGGCATCAAACGTGTATTGGGAGAGAGGTTGTCCTTATGCAAAGCTGGGAAGACGGGGTGCTGGGTCACAGGTGGGTCCATAATACGGAAAACCAAGGTTTTTATAGAAAGAGAGGAGGACTTCTTGGCCCTGAGCAACGGCCGGAGCGGAAGTGTGGGAAAGTGGCTCGGCGTATGGAGAGGAGAAATAATTAAGGCACTACCCTAAAAGGCGAGATAGCAAGTGCTGAGCCCTCCCAGTGGGAAAGGTAGCGGAGCTCAGATCTCCCAGCACCCCGGGGACCCGGAGACTCACCACGTGGAAAAGCTTCCCGAGGCATCTGTGCCCCAGCGCAAAGGATTGCTCCAGGTTTTAGAATGTATTTTAAGACATAAAGGTAAAGAATTTTTATTTTCTTTCACCTCTGGGGCTCTCCTTCCTTCCTTCCTCTCTCTAGATATTGCCACAAGGTTGTTTTTGGTACCACGGCTGCCGGATGAGCGTGCCGAGCCCTGCGAGCGCCCCGCGCTGCCAGCATGCCGGGAGCTCGGCGCAGAGCTCGCAGGGAGCTAGCGAGCGTGCCTAACTCTGATTCCTGTGCACCGTTCCCCCAAGATTAGCCACGAGTTCCTTATTTGGTCCGGGCTCCAGCAAACTCTCTGGCAGAGGGGATTTCATCTGCCATGGAGAGCAGCCCAGATGGGTCTGTCCTCCATACGTGCTGGGGCTGGGAGCATCCGCAGGGGCGGCGGGGAGGGAGGATGTTAAGAGCGAAGATAAAATCAGCCCATCGGTGTGGCTGTGCCCTGTGTTCCCAGGGGTTCTCGTGTTTTTCTCTGCAGCGCAAACCACAGCAGGGACAGATTGCCTCTCCCCATCACCCTCCGCAGCAGGTCCGGTCCTGCCCCATCCCCATCCCAGGGCTCTGGCCCTGGACGTGCGCCGGGCTGAGCTGATGCAGCTTTGAGACACTTCCCTGGGTGTTTATACCCTGACTCGAGAGTCCTCTGCAGAATTAGGCTTTATTTGCTGTGTGAACTAGGTGTCCCTGGGACCACCCCAGCTGGGGGTGGGCAGGGAGTCCCGGGGGGGGGGAGCTGGGACCCCTTGGCTTGCCCTGGGAGCACCACCAGAGATGGGGTCCGGGTCCCGGTCACCCCTCGCTCTTCGCCCAAACAGCCCTTCCCATGGATCTAACAAACCCAAGGCTCTCCCCAAAACCTCTCTCCAGCTCATCTCTCCTCGCCTGACCTCCTCGGGCCTCCAGCCCTGACCCCTGCAGCACCCGAACGCTCCGGGGTGACTAATCCCAGCAATTAGCCTCGTTCCCTGCGTTTATCTGCTTCCTGCCTTTGTCTCCCCCTGACAGCCTCTCCGAGCAAATATGCTTTTAGCCACATTTTCCTGGCTCCGGCTTTCCCGCCAGCCTTTGTCCCGCGGAGCCTCTCCGAGCTGGGTGAAGAGGTTATTCTCCCCGACACGTGTCCCCTCCGTCTGCTGTGATCAAACCGGTGACCAAAAAAAAAAAGCACCCAGCAGCGTCGAGGTCACCCCGGCCCCCGGCAGCGGACAGGCCAGCTCAAACTGGAGGCAATGGGATTTGTTCTTTAAATTGAAGACTGCTGCGGGCCCAGGGGCGTTTCATGCTAAAAGGGATTTTAGGGCTGAGCGATCCAGCTAAATGGGGACAGAGTGCTCGGGCTAGTCTAAAATTCAATGGGTAATAGCGAAACACATGGGCAGCACATTTTGGGAGCCGCCTTCTCCCGTTCCTCGGGACAGGCTGCGCATCCACAGGGGAGCTCCGCGGACCCACCGAGCTTCAGAGGGACGTAAGCTCTCACATGTAGCCTTGACCAGCTTCCCGTGCCTCAAGGAGCAAGCCACGCTGCTTTAATTTAACTCCTTTTTTTTTTTTTTTTCCTTTTCGTTCCTTTTTTTTTTTCACTTCAGGATCCATCTCCCCTTAAAGTGAGCTTCAGAACCGACCAGGATATTTCCCCACAGAGGTGCGGGCTGCTCTGCAGCGGGTCTAACCCTGCCGAGGGCTGTCTCGCTTTGCTTGGGCTTCTCAGGGCCTTTCGCCCCGATGCGGGTCCCTTCCCCGCGGCAGCTGGGGTGCTCCGACGGGCGAGCCCAGGCGGGGGGCTCGCCTCCGGCCTGGGGTCCCCATGGAGAGTGGGAACACGAGGCTCAGACAAGAATTGAGGGGTTTCTCCCACAACGCTAAGCAGGACGCTGCACCGAAGGAGCTGCAGCTGCAGGGTAACTCGTCGGTGGACGCAGCTCC